AAGGAAGGAAGGAAGGAAGGAAGGAAGGAAGGAAGGAAGGAAGGAAGAGCCATAGTGCTTCAGTGGTCAGGATGCAGTATTGCAGCCTAACTCACTGCTCACTGCCAGCAAGTTCGGTCCTCACCGGCTCAAGATCGACTCAGCCTTCCGTCCTTCCAAGGTGGCTAAAACGAGGACCCAGTTTGTTGGGGGGCAAGAGGCTGACTCTGTAAAGCGCTTAGAGAGGGTTGTAAAAGCACTACGAAGCGGCACATAAGTCCAAGTGCTGTTGCTACGGCAATTAAAGAGAATGGATGCAAAAGGAGGCGCCATGAAACGTGGATGTCCAAAAATTACAGTCATCTTTTTCCATGTATTTGAAACAATCCCATTGAACGGTTCAGTCGTCCTGCCCTGAGTTGTCCCATGGAAGGCTGGCCAGCTGGATGATTCTCCCCAGTTTAAAAATAACACACACACACACATACACACACACACACACACACACACACACACACACACCGGGAGGGGCTGGAGACACCGCCTCCCTTTCTGGGGGAGTCCTGCTCAGTTCTGGCAGACCCTCCAGAGACCCCGCTCCCTCCCTTTGGCCTCCGGGGGCTGTAGACCTGAACGTTGCCGCCGCCATTACTGCATGCACCCCTGGGAGAGGGCCCGGGTGGGAGACCGGCCCCTTCCTCCCTCCCTGCCTGGTCTCCGGAGCCCCCATTGAACCCCCGTCGTCTTCTCTCTTCCAGTTCAGCGACCTCGCCTCCCTGTCCCCGGCGGTGCTCGAGAAAGGTAGGGACTCTCTGGCCTTCCTCCACAAAGAGGGGATTCCCCCGCCCCTGCCCCTCACCCCAGAGTAAAGCTGGTCCCCTCTTTCTCCTTTCCCACAGACGCCTTCGGCACTTTGGGACACGAGGCCGGAGCCCGGGTGAAGCCCCGGGTGAAGCGAGAGCACAGCGACCCCGGCCCATCCTTGCAGGAGATCTAACCGACGGGCAGGCCGTGCGCCCCTGTCCTCTATCCCGACTCCGCCGAGAGTGCCAAAGCTTTCCGAACGATGCCCTGCGAGGACTCCTGGCCCTCCCGGACGCCGCTGTGCCTCTTCGTCCCTCCTCCTCCTCCTCCTCTTCCTCGTGCTTTTACGGGTCTTTGCCAAAGACGGGCCGGGTGTCCGGCAAGACAGAGAAGGTCCTCGACCGTCGGCCGGTCCTTCTCTTTGCAAGGGTCCCCCGGCCGGCCCACTTCCCGTCCTCCCTCCTGCTCCGATGCTTTGCCTTAAGTGACTCCGCTCCCCGACGGGGGGGAAAACCCTGCCAAGGTGCCACTGTGATCCGGGGGGGCCGCCGGTCGATTCTGCGCCTCGCGAGAGAAGGGGAAGGGCGTCCTTCCGGTGTCCTCTCCGACTCTTGCTAAATAAACGGACACTTGTGGCCAACCACGAACATCCGTCGTCATCCTTCCATGCCTCTTTGCCCATCGTCTCACCTGGCTAAGCGCCGTTCTTCTCCTGGGCCCTCAAGGAGCCACCACCCGAGGTGGGTTACTCTAGGAGAGAATTTTTCAACCCGAGCTGCTTGAAGATGGGTTGGACTTCAACTCCCCAGCCAGGTTGAGCAGTGCCGGTGGTTCTCGAGGGTTTCATTTAGCGACCATTCCAAGTTCAAGGGACCCTGGAAAAAAGGGTACTCAGGACCTCTTTTTTTTTCCAGCTTATGACTCTTGCGGCATTCTTGGCCGTCACGGGATCCAAATTCAGGTGCTTGTCAGTCCCCAACTCGTACCGTGTTTCCCCGAAAATAAGACCTGGTTTTATTTTTATTTTTTTTTACCACCCAAAAGGTACCAGGCCGGGGGGGCATTCTACCAGTTCGGACCGGTTCTATAGAACTGGTTGTTATGATTCTGCACAGTTTGGAAAACCAGCAAATCAGGCCCCTGGCTGGGCCCACCCCTCTCCACCCACCCCTCCCCTCCCAGTCAGTTCTTATCGCGCATGCACAACATTGCGCACATGCCCGAGCCGACCGTGGTCTTCCCCATCCAGTCCCTCCTTAAGGTATTTCCTTTTTTCCCCCTGCCGACGATCAGCTGTTCCTATGATCAGCTATTCCAGGATTCTCCTCGCTTACTTACTGCTCCGTCCAGGAGGCCCCGAAGGCCCCCCAAAATGGGGGGGGTGTTGCTGCAAAAAAGCCATACCCACCTAGTCACATGGCCATGCCCACCTAGCCACCGCCCACAGAACCAGCTGTTACAAAATTTGAATCCTACTCCTGGCACCAGGTCTTATTTTCGGGGGACACCTTCCACTTGACTCGCCCCGCTTAACAGGAGCCCTCCGCCAGCCCACCTCTGTAGCCACTTGCCGCCGCTTGAGTGCATCGTCCCCGGCCTCCGTTCTTTTGCCAGGGGCCTTCAGGAAAGGCCTCTTGCAGGTGAGAAAGGGGCTCCTGGTGGACGCGTGCCTCACCCCTGGCCTCGTTTTGCCACCAGAGGCCATCAGGAAGGGCCTCTGCAGCCAATAACAGAGCTCCGGATTGGCGCGGATCAGTGGCCACAGAAGAAGTGGGCCGGCATGGTGAGGCAGGTGTAGAGGGGGGTATGAGGCCTGACTGCAACTGTCCGAAGGTAAGTATCGGTAGGGCAGCTTCACCTTCCCCATCTCCATCCTACCTTGATTTTTACCTGTCTACCTCACCCCACCCTATGCACCCCAGAGTGGGGTGAGGTCTTAACTAGGGCTTATTTTGGGGAGGGGGGTAGGGCTTATATTGGACACACGTGTAAAAAAAAATCAAGCTAGGTCTTATTTTTTGGATAATTATTTTCAGGGAAACGGGGTATTTATGATGGTTGCAATGTTCCAGGTGGTCCCCTTTTGCAACCACCTGCCGATCAAAGTCAACGGGGGAGCTGGATTCACTTAACAACTGGCTTACTAACCGATCAACTGCAGTCATTCACTCAACGGCGGCAAGACAGGTTGTAAAACGGAGGCCAGACTCGCTGAAACTTGCTGGGCGTCAGAAATTTGGGGCTCAGTCCAGGCCTACCTGTGCTCCCAGCTCAAACAGCCACTTGACTGGCAAAATGGCAAAATCCTCTCCCTGCAAGCAGGCTTCCCAGAACTCCCCAGGTTGTTGCACCCGGATCCTCCTGCAGGTCCCCCCACAACCCTCAGCAAGCTACCAAGGCCAACCCCAGCATGCCAAGGTTTCACAGGGCTCTTACGCGCCCAGGTACCCCTGTGGGAATTGCTGACCTGCTTACAAGTGGGGTCTCGTCTCTTTAGCCAACTGCACCCAGGTTTCAATCATGGGCGCGCGAGAGACAGCCCCAAAACGGGAAGACCAAAGTTACGAGCTTGGCTATGAACGCAGCGACAAAGTGGCGTGCAAAATATTTGCGTATTTCATTGGTTAGATTCATTCCTTCATTCGGTTTCATAATTGAGAGAATAATTTAAAAGATTTAAGCAGCCCAGAGAATGGTGGCACAGTGGTTAAATGTGGTACTGCAGGCTAATTCTGCCCGCTGCCAGTGGTTCGACACTCATCAGTTCAAGGTTGACTCAGTCTTCCGTCCTTCCTTCCAAGATCGGTGAGAAGGGAACCCAGATTGTTGGGGGACAATAGGATGACTCTGTAAACCACTTAGAGAGGGTTGTAAAGTATATAAGTCTTAAGTGTTACTACTCTTCCTTCCCTCTCTTCTTACTTTGTCCCCTTTTCTTTCTATCTTTTTTCTTCTCTCTCTCCTTCCTTGCCTTCTTTTTCTCCATTTTTTCTTTCTCTCCTCTCCATCTCTTCTTTCTCTTCTCTTTCTCTCCCCCTCTTCTTTTCTCTCCTTCCTTCTTCCCTCCCTCCCTCTTTTTTCTTTCTCCTTTTCTTTCTTTCTCTTCCTTCCTTTCCCTTGTAAGAGCCATAGTGATCAGAATGCAGCATTGCAAGCTAACTCACTGCTCACTGCCAGCGGTTCAATCCTGACCGGCTCAAGGTTGACTCAGCCTTCCAAGGTCAGTAAAACGAGGAGGCTGACTGTAAATCGCTCAGAGAGGGCTGGAAAGGACTGTGAAGCAATCCATAAGTCTATTGCTGTTTCTCTCTGTATCTATCTATCTATCTATCTATCTATCTATCTATCTATCTATCTATCATTTATATCTATCTATCTATCTCCCTATCTATCATCTATCTATCATCTATATCTATCTATCTATCTATCATCTATATCTATCTATCTATCTATCTTCTGTCTTAATTCTATCTATCTATCCTGTTTCCCCGAAAATATGACCTAACCTGAAATATGTCCTAGCTTGATTTTTACACATGCACCCAATATAAGCCCGACCCCCAAAATAAGCCCTAATTAAGATCCCACCCACTCCAGAAAAAATTAAGGTATGGTGGGGATGGAGGGGTGAAGCTGCCCTACTTACTTACCTTTGGACAGGTGTAGCCAGGCCTCGCACCCCCCCGATACCTGCCTGGCCAGCCCATTTCTTCTGCAGCCAGCAAGGCCGGCAAGGTTTTCCTGAAGGCCTCCAGAGCTGATAAGAAAGCTCTGGATCGATCCTGAGCTCTGTTATCGGCTGCAGAGGCCTTGCTGGCCGCAGAAGAAGTTCCTGAAGGCCTCGGACAGCGAAAAGGAGGCCGGGGGCGACTCGCACAAGTGAGGTTTTCAGTGGAGGACATCCCCCCCAAAATAAGACCTGGTGCCTTTTTTTGGTGGCAAAAAGAGTATAAGACAGGGTCTTATTTTCAGGGAAACACAGTATTAGAATGCAGTATTGCAGGCTCGCTCTGCTGACTGCCAGCGGTTCGATCCTGACTGGCTCAAGGTTGACTCAGCCTTCTATCCTTCCGAGGTGGGTAAAATGAGGGACTAGATTGTTCGGGGTCAAGAGGCTGACTTGGTAAACCACTTAGGGAGGGCTGGAAAGCACTGGGGTAAATATGCCTAATCACTACTGCTATTGACATGGGTAGCATATCAAACGAAAGGGTAAGGTAGGTAGGTAGGTAGGTTGGATGGAAGGAAGGATGGATGGAAGGAAGGTTGGATGGAAGGAAGGAAGGTTGGATGGATGGAAGGAAGGAAGGTTGGATGGAAGGAAGGAAGGTTGGATGGAAGGAAGGAAGGAAGGAAGGAAGGAAGGAAGGAAGGAAGGAAGGAAGGAAGGAAGGAAGGTTGGATGGAAGGAAGGAAGGTTGGATGGAAGGA